TTTGTCTGTCAAATCGGGCGTTCCCTCGAGAGGGTCCAAGGTCTCGATGGACGATTCTTGGACCATGGTTGAGAAGGATGCTGGATATAGAATTGAGTTGCAAAGGAGAGCCTAGCTGAAGATTCAAACTCAAACATCTAAATGGGACCGTCGTGACTCTTTATGTTGACTTTCACGATGGCTGGCGATGAGTGTCATAGCTGGGTTGAGGCAGCAGAACCAATCATCTTACACATTTTCCGAGGACGGTGCATAAAACTTGAACCTGGTGGGAAAGCAGGCAATCTGAAATACTGCATCCGACGCCACTCCTGCATGCCTCTGAACCTAGCCAAGGATTGATTATTGGCCTGGACAAAGTCCCGAGCCCTGGCCTCAAGCTAAGGTGGTCCTCGAAGCTTTGGTCCATGCTGCCAGGGAAATGCATGTTCGACGCCTCGCAACTTGAAGCCTTTTCGGGTCCACTCAGCCCCGGCCCGGTGGTAACTGGGATCCAACAAGCGATAGCAGGCGCCGATCCCAGCGTCAGGTTCGGATGTAGCTGTCCAGCTCAGGCTGAATGTAGACTTCATTCCAAAACGCCTGAACCTGCGCCAAAAACGCTTTTTCAGACCATATAAATTTCTCAAGAATGCCAAGCAGCTCAGGCCATGATGTGTACAAGCCTCGTAGCCTGCCCTCAAGGTTGCGTTTCAACAAACCCAGATATTCCGAGCGCGTCGTCCCAGCTGGAGCGAATGCCCCACCAATGTGCAGTAGCCAAGTCAGCAGCTCTCGATGCTCAGCCCACCAGGGTTCGGCGTCTGCTTTTTGTAGCTTATACAGCAGTCGGAGCGACAAGTGAAGCTATCAACCCAACGGGTCAGTCCTCAAGGTGCGTGAAGAAGATGAAGATGGTCCAAATATGCTTACCGGCACGACCGAGGCACGCCACCTTTTGCACCGCAGCATCGTTGAGCATAGATAAGCCCCGACATAGCAACAGTCTGATATCGACGAGGTGGCTTCCAAGTCTACGATGCGTGACTGAATTGACGCCTGGTGATTGTCGACGTTTGCCATGGATATGGCGTCTTCTGGGCCGAAGAGATTCGTGTCTCGGATTTGCTGAAGAGCATGGATATCCTCCATGATCTCGAGAAAGGTGTGTCCCAGTACTGATGACAACATCTGGAACCCAGGCGGTAACTTGAAGAAAGTCAAAGATGTCTTGTCTCTACTCCAGGAGAGCTCGGGAAAGGACTGATGATGGAATGTTCGGCTCGATCCTGTCATTATTGAAGAATTGAGATCTTGCCTATCTTTGGGCGTCAGACTTATTTGATAGATAGACTGGAGGTTCTTACCAGAAAATGGCACGCTTTAGGTTATCACTCAGGACGATGCCCTGTTTAAGGCAGGCTTCAAGCAAATTCTGGATTGCACCCATGTGTATTTGAACTTGGCATGGCAGTCCACGTCGAGCCTGTCACGTAGCTGTTAGCCTGAACAGTGTTTATTAGACGAGAAGCGGCTGACCTCTGCTCCTGCTAGTAGCAAAATGGCCCCGAGATTGGATTCTGATATGGCAGAATCAGGAGAGCTCATATTCTGCCGTAGACAGCTTAGAGTTTGGTCCTTATATTCGAGACACTTCCGGTTCATGCTGCCAGATATGACCGCGCACGTAAAATTGAGCCTGACGGCATAGAGAAGAGCTGGGTTATCCGGGCTCTTCCGAAAGACACATGATATGTTCTGCAGCACAAGCTCGTCTGCTACGTCGAACACGGGATGCATTGAAGCGGAACTATCTTTTTCAGTTTCACAGAAGTCAACGCCTCAGTTCGTTTTGGCGTGTGTGGTACATTTTTCTTACAATGTACCTTGAACAGACGCTGCAGGCTTGGTAGCCCGCCAACCAGCATTTGAAATGCGTCAAGAGTGTTAATAGTTGAAGAATATGGCGGGGAAGCAATGTTCTGAAGGTTCTTCGAGGGCTTTCCAGCCCGGCCCTTCACTTTATCATTCGGGGAAACTACACGAAAGTTCGCGCCAGACTTTTGCTGAAGCTGTCGTTTCCTCTCAAGAGCTTGAGACACAGCATGTGACCGGGCGAGTCGCAGCGACGCGCGGTCCCTACATTCTCCAGGGTTCTGAATGGAGATGAACTTGAAGGCTCGTCCCGGCATTGGGCAAGCAACAGTGGACGGATGGTGCTCAAGCGACGTGATAAGCCACCCTGCTTTCGACCGGGGGAGCTTCACTGGAGTATTCGATGATGACGGACACCAAAAGTATTGGGTGGATTAACAGGTTATGTTGCACATGCTAGCAAATCTGCCTGCAGTTGGGCCAAAGGCAAGAAGGTATCCGTGAAGGGGAAGATGAACTACAGGTCGGCCATGTGCGCAGGACAAGATGACCAGCTGGTTTTTGATTACCAAGAAGCCACCAGCGACTCCTCAAGGTCAATCACATGGGGCAGAGTTTCTGTTACTAAGCAGACATTCAGCAGGGTTCGTCTCCACAGCCATTACCAGGCGCCAGGTTTCAGCGCTTGTACCCTCCCTCCCTCGACCCTTGAACTTCAAACCCTCGCCTGTCATCGACTTGTCACCAACTAGCAGGAAAGGCAAGCCCAAGCTATGGTTTTCAATCCTCACCCTACCGGTTTCCGAACGAAACATTGGCGAAAGCTTTACGAATCGTACATCCTTGGCCTCAAGTCTTTGAGGCAGGTTGTTGAAAGCGGCGGCATATTCGTTTTTGTAGATGCCGAGCCTTGGGGAGCGGATAGTTCCAAGCCAGCGGAAATTGGACTATCTCTCGTACCAAGCCTTGACCTAATCACAATTGCTAACAAATCTTCGACGATGCTTTGGACTCTGGACAATCTCAGCACCGAACATTGCATCGAGGCACACAGATTTCGTGTTCTCGGTAGAGATAGGCAAGAAAAGAGACGCCAGCCTCATCGGTTCGGTCAGAAGTATGAGATCGTGGATGAGGAGATTGAGAAAAGCATTTCTGATATAATCCACGAATTCACGCAGCAACATCAACCCCCATCTCGACAAACTCCCATCGTCTTGGCCGGCTTCAGCCTCCACTTCGAGTTTTGCATTCTGTCGGGTCTTTACCCCGAAGTACTGCGTTTCTTTACGCACTGGCTAGATCTGCAGGAAGTGGCGGCTCGAGTTGCCGCAATGGACGAGAGGCTTGTTCATCCTAGCTTACGCGAAACTCTTGTTGCCTGCGGTTTTCAAGATGTAGCTTCGCAACGCACAAAGCTCCTGCACAACGCAGCTACAGACACTACGCAGGCAGCAGCACTTCTGGTTCGACTAATGTCACTGCGAGAGGGCGAAGAACTAAATATTCAATGCTCCTCCCACAAAGCTCATCCAAGGACATATCGCAAAGATCCCCTTAAAAAACGGATTTGGAGACGCAGACCTGTTCCCAAAGAAATCTTCCCCTATGCTGCAAAGGTATCTCGAAAAGAAGGATTTACTATGTTCGATACAGCGGAACCCCTACTAAGTCTGTTTATTGACCATTGCCCGGTAGCTGTGGGACTTTCTGGCGACAAAAAGCACGGATGGGTGTGCCTACCAGAGTTTGATGCTCTGGAGAAATTCATCCATCGTGTCAATGTCTTAGTAGATTATGGAGATGCGTGGATTGCAATTTCGGCATATGATGAAACGATAGTGCCCGCCAAAGATATGACGGAGCTGAGGCTGATCCAGAAGGAGATTTTGCATGCACTTGCTGACGAAAAGCGACAGCAGAGAAGTCGAAATAAAACTGATGTAGCTCTTCTGGAAGATGAAGAGGATACGAAGAGTCAAGCTGGATATGGGGCAATGGTAGAGGAAAAGAATAAATAAAAAAAACAGGGAAAAAAAGAAACTAGTCAGTAACTGCTTGAGCATGATTCAAGAATTCGCATCACCAATAGGTACTCAACGATGTCATTCCTGCAGTCAGGAAAGCGGACGCCGAAATGCGACTCTGAAAGTCCCTCTTAACGCCCATGCTTGCCACTGAGATTGTAGAAGTACATTAGTTCTGTGTTTGCCACGCGGATACCTGGAGCCTGCGCGATTCTGCTTACCTTGGCTGATGGAAGCGATCCCCAGCCACAGGGACTTATGATCCGCTGGACCCTGACTTTGTGAAGTGTGATGTTCGTGCTGAATACTATGCTAGTGTTGGCCGGGCCTGTTTGTGATGTACTTGGGGAGCTCGCATGAAGTAAGATAACTACCTACCTACCGTTGGGCGAGATATAGGCCAAGCTCATTGACCAGGTGCCCTGGAAGAATGGCCCTTGGGTGGCTCGTACATTTCAGGGTCCCTTATTCAACGTCACAACGCCTATCACTGTCTTGTGCTCTTCCTTTCTTCGAGCCAGCGAATCTTCCAGCTCTCGACTCGTGACCGATTACACCAGCAAAGCTGTACTGCCGTTCTTAGGAGCTCAGCTACACTGCAGCCATGTGCATCTAGACCCTCTTTTGCCAATCAAGCAGTCGTCTCACTCTCAGTGCCGCTTTCCGCCATGGCCGTTCCCAAGCCAAACAATACCAACGTCAGGCTTCTCGCGTGCCTCGTCGACGAAGAAGACACAGATTATAGCGAATATCGCTTCCTCGTCGACAGGCAACACGTCAAATACGTAACCACAGCGCCAGGAACGTGCCGCGGGGCCGAGGATTGCCGCACCTTCGGGCCCACCCTCCTGAGCCAGCTCCTTCCGCCCTTGCCAATCGGGACTTGAAACAAAGGCCATGTGGCTGGGGATCCGAGAACAGGGGAGGTTACCTTCTTTAAGGCGGAGACAGTGCACCTTGCCGGGGTAGAGAACCTTTGGCATCCCGTGAAGCTGAACGAGTTGGACTTTACGCAACAAGACCGAATGAGGCAGCGAGTTCACGTTTCAACGCATGCCGAACTCAACGTCGGCGAACCCGTGTTAATCAAACTTGCGGTTTGACCATGGGAATTGCCTCCATCGAGGTTGAGACGACTGCCTACCAATGGATTAATGACAGTGGTATTGGCCCAAGACTTTTCGGTCATCTTACCGAAGGCAAAGGCGGGCGCGTGGTTGGTTTCGCCATTGAGTGGTTGCGAGGCGTAAGAGCCGGGCCAGGAGACATTTAGAGCTGCAAGAAGGCTTTGACACGATTGCACAAGCTGGGAATAAAGTCTGGGGATATCAACAAACACAACTTTCCCGTGCGAGATGGGCATGGCGTTGTTGTGATGGACTTTGAGACGGCGAGGCACAACTATTCGTCCCAGGAGCTCGAAGATGAGATGAGAGCCCTCGAGGGCAGCTTTGACGATAGAAGTTCCGAGGTGGAAGTATACTCAGTTCATGAGTAGCAGATCCGTAACCTTCAGGTTATCCTGCCGACTTGGCCAACATTACTTCGATTTTCTTAAGTGAGCGCCTTGATAGCGTTAGCTCGGATACTGCCGCATTCGTTTAGAACCAGGCTACGGTTGATGATAAAAGGACTTAGAGACCAAGTCACTACAAGCCTTTGAAGAGGCCCAGCCTGAGGAAACGTGATAGAGTCGCCGAAGGCTCGGCAATGATTAAGCGTCAAGGTTTGAGCACCCATCAAAGCACGGCTGAATACCCAGAGAATTATGGGCGTTGAGTCAAAAAAATTTGAATGAACTGATACCCAAATGCGAACACTCGGCGAAGAAATGATTACATGAGCCCGGTTCAGCCCCCTAGCAAGTTAACAACGCAATCAAGGAGGGGAAAAACGGTAGAATTATAACGTAAGTAGGGACGATACAGTAGATACGGCGGGGCCTAATGGTATCGCTGGATAGCTTCAACTAGATGATGATGATGATGAATCAACTCAACACATAGATGAAAGAGGAAACAGAAACTCGGGCAAGTCACTTGCAGGATGAGAACGTTGTGAGGTGGGTGAAGCGCGGACCACATCCGTGATCCCGTATGCTCCAGGCGAATCGGACCTGAATGCTGTGTACTCTGCACAGGAAAGGTTCGCAGCCAATTGTACGGAGCGGAAGGACCGCAGTGGAAGTGACTACAGCAAAGAGCGCAGCAATCCACATATAAGCATTCGTCATCCTGGCAAGCAGATCGCGAATATCTTCCAGCCTTCTAGTGGGGATGCTGGTGAGGTGCTGATTCGCTACACGAACGTCTCCCTAAATAGGAAACATCTTGCTTCCCTTTCAGGAAATATCTCGTTGCCCCTTTTGGCCATCACCAAAGCCACAGCCAACGAGCTCGCAATAATCATTACAAATGCTCTTTTTAGTCTCCTTGAAGATGTGCGTATAAAGGTCGAATTGCTCTCGGGGTTGTGATCTGTATTTCTCGCTCATATCAAGCACTTGACAGTATCCCTCATCATGTCTCAGTCGTATCTTTTCAAGCCGCTCAAGATTGGCCATGTCGAAGTCAAGCATCGCATCGGCATGGCTCCCCTCACACGGTTTCGAGCGACCGATGCCCGAGTTCCCACGCCAATGATGAAGGAGTACTATAGCCAACGGGCCTCTGTACCAGGTACCTTGATCATTACCGAAGGCACGTTTGTCTCAGCCAACTGCGGAGGCTTCAACAATGCCCCGGGCATCTGGCACGAGGATCAAATTGCCGCGTGGAGAGAAATCACCGACGAAGTCCACCGGAGACAAAGTTTCATCTTTTGTCAGCTCTTTGCCATGGGCCGCGCTGCGGTGGCCGAGGTGGCTGAGGCAGAGGGCTTTCCGATTGTTGGGCCCAGCGCCATCACCTTTGATGATAGCGCAGTCGTACCGAGGGCCATGACCATCGAGGAGATCAAGCAAACTGTTCTTGACTTTGCACAAGCTGCAAGAAACGCGGTGCGTGCGGGGTTCGACGGCGTTGAAATCCACGGAGCGAACGGCTACTTGATCGACCAATTCGTTCAAGACGTTAGTAACAAGCGTGACGATTCGTACGGCGGCAGCATTGAAAACAGAAGCCGCATTGTCGACGAAATCATGCAAGCTGTCAACCAAGCTATCGGAAAAGAGCGAGTCGGGCTCCGCCTGAGTCCTTGGAGTACCTTTCAAGGCATGCGAATGGACAATCCGACCCCTCAGTTCACGGACGTCATTCGCAAGGCAACTGAAGCAGACATAGCTTATCTCCATGTTGTAGAGGCTCGTGTATCTGGGAGCGTCGACGCGGAGCATGGTGATGGCGACCAATCCGACTTGATCTTTCGCCTCTGGAAAGGGCCGCTGCTCATTGCAGGAGGCTATACGGCCCAGGAGGCTCGGAAGCTCGTAGACGAGAAGTACCCTGGCAAGGACATCGTGGTGATCTTTGGACGCTACTTCATTTCGAATCCAGACCTGGTGTTTAGAATCTCAAAGGACCTCGCTTTGGACTTGTACAACAGGGAGACGTTCTACACCAACAAGTCGGCGGTTGGATATATAGACTATCCCTTCAGCAAGGAGTATATGACAGCTAGCATAGCTTGAGGTTCTTGTTCGACCGAGTTTCTGTGTAGATTCGCTTCACATAAATCGGATTTGCGAGCTTTGCCAGCGTCCTGGATCTATTGTTATCATCTTGGATTATCATTCGATCTCAAAATAGGTACAAGATCGCTAAGGATGCTCTGTGCAAAGCAAGTCAGGATAGATGTCTCTTTGTCATGATTCGCTTGTTACATCCAATCAAACGCAGGCACCCTGGATTCTATAGTTCCTGTATCATTCCTTCTGAAGAAGCCGGTACATCTTAATAACTTCGTCACATCGACACGTTTCCCTTTGCCATTCGGACCATAGCCCTATCTATCGCTTACAACTCATCGATGGCAGAACGAAGTGTCGCTTGAAACTCCATTGAGGAAGTGACGACTATTCGAAATACTTGCGTCGCCGCTGATATTTCTCATGCCCTTCACTAATCTCTTTCATGTTGGCAAGATCAGAAACGCAGCGTCTGCTCAATGTCAGCAGCCACCTTGAACACAGTTTTCTCATTCGATCAGGCCAAGACCGAGACTAAGCGCCTAGCACTCGGAGCCATGTCCCGAAGTCCAGGCAAACAAGCGGAGAAAACACGAAGGTGTGCGTCGTGGCTGAGCGCCTCTCGATGCTTAAGCCTGATAAGCGTGCGCGAAGGCGCTGCGACGAGGAATCGTGGCGCCCGGGGAAGCACCAGACGACGCGCTCGAATCCCTGGGTGCCGACGCCTCCAATAAATGTCAGCTTCCAAGTTCATCCTAGAGCCTGCGGCAATTCCACTCCCCGCTGTGAAGTTTCCCGTGCCGCAAGGCCAAGGAGCCGTGTGGCCCCCTGTCACCGTCTCGGCACTCGCATGAAGGCCAGAGGGAAAGAGGTAATTCGTCGCGCGCACTGGCAAGCAAAAAAAGGAGCGTCAAAATATGCTCTTCCACCCGGTCACCAGATATGGGACATGGCTTGTCGCCTGCCTCTTCCGGGAAGGACGCCAAGACGCCAAGAATCGGTGGACACTTGTAGATCGGGGGTGGCACTGCGACTGGATGCTGGCGCTGTGAGGTCAGGTACTCTAGCTCGATGTTTGTCGGGCTCGGGATACGTCTCGGCCAGAGCAGAACCTTGTTGGCCTGCCGTGCATGCTGTGCAGGTGCAGATATCGTGAGCCTACTCGCACCACCCCAGTGAAGAAGTCCTGGCTTCATTGGCTGTTCAAGGTTGCACAGTATGAGGCCCAACCTGTGATTTCCCGTCGATCCCACCTCCAACAGGGCCCGCGATGGACCGAACCCTTGTCTATCGCGCCGGGCGCGCGTTGCAATGAAGCATGTGCAACTTTTTCTCTCGTCAACAGACACACCCCTTGGAGGTCTCCAGCCAGCCTGACAGCCTAGGAAGAGTGCGGGGAAGCTCTGATTGCTGTGTCTGTTGACTTGAGCCAGTTCCGTGCGGAGGTGCATATGTCGAGATAACCTCGCTTGGCCTGCTGTTGAGCTTCCCCTTCCAGGACGCCAAGACGCCCAAATGCAACCATGATCATCTGCTGCGGCTAGAGCGATGTCATGGTTACTTCCGCTGCGAAGAACAGACTCTGAGCCAAGCATGTCCACAGGGCACGGTTGGTACGACAATCGTTCGGGAGGAAAGCTGGTCCTCCAGAAGTAGAAAAGCAGATATAACCCACTACATTTTGCTGGCTCCCAGGCACGTCTCGTGTAACGTCTTTCCAGTCTGCGCTGGATTCTACACAAGCCCACTCTAGACGCCAATATAAGCTGGTCCAAGACATTGCCAATCTCATCATGTCGACCGCCGCGGAGCTTGACCTCGTGGAGGCCGCTCGCGCCGACTACCCGGCCATCGAGAAGGGCATGAACACCGATAAGAAGCCCGGTTACAAGGGCGAGGGAGACTTAGGGCATGCTGTGTCTTCAACGACAGATTCGCTCCGTGGACCTAACGGCGAAGTGTATCCTACCGATGAGGAGCTCGAGACGTTGCGCCGCGTCCACGGCAAGGTTAGCTGGCTCATATACTCCATTGGTATCGTTGAGATGGTTGAGAGGTTTGCCTACTACGGCACCACCGCTGTCTGTGAGTTCATCAGAAGCGCACCCACATCTAGAGAGCGGGATCCGGCTGACACTCCAACACACAGTCGTCAACTTCATCAGCTACCCTCTACCCGAAGGCTCTACCACAGGTGCTGCGGGCACCGATGGCCAGGCTGGCGCCCTCGGCATGGGACAGCAAGTTTCTACGGCTGTGACTCTATTCAACTCATTCTGGTCCTACTTCATGCCCCTCGTCGGTATGTAAATCTCCCTTCTTGGGCGACAACATAGTTGACGAACTTTCTCTTCAGGCGGCTACTTGGCCGACACGTATTGGGGCCGCTTCTTGACGATCCAGTATGCCATTGTCATTGCCACGGTAGGGCACATTATCATCATTGTTGCTTCGGTGCCCTCTGTCATTCAGAACGCCGGCGGCTCTCTGGGATGCTTCATCGTCGGTCTCCTCTTTTTTGGCACCGGAGTCGGCTGGTTCAAGGCCAATATCTCGCCCCTCATTGCTGAACAGTACGAGATGACGCAGCCACGCATGACTGTTGAGACACTGAAGTCGGGCGAGCGTGTCATTGTTGACCCCGTCATGACCATTTCGCGAGTCTACATGCGCTACTATTTCCTCGTCAACGTCGGCGCCCTCGTAGGTCAGATCTCCATGGTTTACGCCGAAAAGTACGTCGGATTTTGGCTGTCTTTCCTACTCCCCACCATCCTCTTCCTCTTGTGTCCCATCATCATGGTCCTCTGTCGCAACAAGTACGCCAAGCGCCCGCCGACAGGATCGGTTCTTGGCAAGTCATTCCGTCTTGTGATCTACGGCATCAAGCGCAACGGCTTCCGTTCGATGAGCAAGAAGCACTTTTGGGAGCAGATTCGCCCAAGCCAGGTCCACGACAAGCCGAGCTGGATGACATTCGACGACGCCTGGGTTGATGAGGTACGCCGTGGATTCATGGCTTGCTCCGTGTTCCTCTGGTTCCCCATCTTCTGGCTGGCCTACGGCCAAATGTCCAACAATCTCATCAACCAGGCGGCCACGATGCGCCTCAACGGCCTCCCCAACGACATCATCACCAACCTCAACCCCTTCTCGCTTCTGATCCTCATTCCCATCTGCGACAAGTTCCTCTACCCTGCCATTGCCCGCGCCGGCCTGCGCTTCACGCCCATCAAGAAGATCGCCCTCGGTTTCGCCAGCGCCACCCTCTCCATGGCCGTCGCCGCCATCATCCAGCACTTTATCTACCAGCGCGCCCCATGCGGGAACTACGCCAGCGACCGCGACTGCATCGAGGAGAACGGCGTGCCGTACATGAGCGTCTGGATCCAGAACGCCCTGCTACATCCTCATCGCGCTGTCCGAGGTCCTCGCCTCCATCACGGGCCTCGAGTACGCGTTCACCAAGGCGCCGCGCAACATGCGTGGCCTCGTCACCGGTGTCTTCTGGTCCGTCCTCGCCATCTCGTCGGCCCTCGCCCAGGCCTTTGTCGGCCTCGCCACCGATCCCCTGCTCGTCTGGCTCTACACAACGATTGCCTGCATCAGCGGCGCCGGTGGCCTCGGCTTCTGGCTCGCGTTCCGGAAGCTCGACGAGGAGGAGGATGCGCTTAACGCGCTGCCCGAGAGTACGTACAAGGGCCGTGGTCAAGACGCTGAGGTGGAGAGCAAGGCTGTTTGAACATGTTGGCGGCGGAGGCCGAGACTCGCCGGTACGGTGAACGAAGTGCCTAGTCTCCGAATGCGAAACCATTCGAGAATGGCCAGAACTATAGCATTCTGAAGTAGAATCGTTGCAAATATGAAGTTCCAATTGATCATTCTGACCGCCTGACTTAACTTGATTGTGAATGCAAGACGTTGGCGTGGGAATGAGCGGTGTGGTATGTTTCCGTCTACGAGCCGTGGTACTTCAGTTGAGCCGAAGCATCTTCCCTGCAGTTCATCAAAGTGCAAGGAAATCCCTCGGTGCTGTAGTAAGCATGCTTCTTAGATGATCTGAAGGACATGCTCTATCCTACAGCATCAGCGGCGGCCGTGTGTCGGGCCTGGTGTATCCGGAATGAGTGGGCCTCTTCCGGGGGCGACCCCGGCATGCCTCCGAAGCTTTCGGGCGACACCGCCGCAGGATGCAGGCGACAAAGGTGTGTTTCTGAGGAGCTGCAGCTCACGGCATGAATGTCAAAGCCGATCTGTCAATCGATTGTTTGGTGGATGAAAAATATAGCCGGGAAAGATGAGTTGTCTGACAAAGTGGTGCCTCCAGGGGTTGAGTTGGAGAAAACGCGTTGGCAACAGTCGAACAAGAATGCAGCAACAAGCCGCAGCTGTATGCATGTCTGAAGATTCCCACGTTTCCTTCAGCCCCATGAGTTCGGTCATTTGAATCACCATGGAGCGTTTCCCCCGGGCCAGCGCAAGGTTCAGCGTTGAGAGACACGCGCTGGTGATTCATGACGACGCCAGCGCGTCATTGATCTGCTCGCCACCGATTGCCTTCGATGTCCATCGTCTCTAGGAAGAAACAGCACAGCACGATCAAACGGGGAGCTCTGGACCTGTCCATAAAGCACCACGAGCCAGGCATGCCGTCAAGACGTCCACTTCGGATTGGTTCCCGATCCCTCACCCGAACCTGACCCCTTCACTCACCAGCCGCCGGCCTCCTCCTCTGTCCGAGCCCCTCAGCAGGTCGACAACCGCCCGAACAGCCAGGATGCCCTCGACGCGCTCCGAAGACTGGAAGTCCAACCCGCCCTACGCCCGCCCCAAAGACGAGCCCTTCACCAACACGCTCCGCGGGTCCTGCCACTGCGGCCAGGTCGTCTACCACCTGTCCCGCGACCGGCCCCTCGCGTCCAAGTACTGCCACTGCACCGACTGCCAGACGCTCCACGGCGCGCCCTTCCAGTGGGCCGCCATCTTCGAGAAGCACCACCTCGCCTTCGACCGCGGCGTCGAGGGCCTGGCCTTTTACAGCGCCGGCGACAAGGCGCCCGCCCACGGCCTGCCGTGCAAGGTCAGCTGCGCGCGGTGCGGCAGCCGCATCATGGACGAGGGGCGGAACATGGTGCTGCTCTTCCCGGCGCTCGTCGAGTTTGAGGGCGACGAGAAGCTCAAGGCCAATTTCGCGCCGGAGTGCGTTTCTTTCTTTTCTGTTCTCTTGTGAGAGCTTAGGCAATCGACTGACGAACATATCAGGATGCATATATTCTACACGAGGCGGGTAGTGGACATCGTGGATGGGAAGCCGAAATGGGCAGGACTCAATGACAAGAGCGAGCTCGTTGGAGAGACGCGCTGATCGCATTTGACGAGCGTTGAAGAGCAGAGATAGGGGTTGTCAAGCGATGATGGAATGACACCGTAATGATGGAGATTTTACTCACAGCATGCTGGGCGCAAGGGGGTGCAAAAAAAAACAAGGCTGTGAATGTGGCCGTGTATCTTCATGATCTAATGATATCTTATCCAAACGCCTTCCAAGTGTCCCATGCGATGCCATGCTCGCTGATGCGTATGCCACGGTATCGTGCTCGCCAATGTAGTATGCCGCGACGCCATGCCCAAATAATGAAGCAAGAATTTTTTTTAAAAAAAAAAAAAAAAAGAATGCTCACCACGTGAAGCTCTCTTCGAAATATTCCACCTTCGCCTCCGTATGGCCCAGAGACTCGACGACCGCCCTCCTCGCATCATCCGCCATGCGCGCCGGCCCGCACGCAACGACGGCGAGGCTCCCAGCCCGCGCCGCGGACCACAGCGTCTTCGACCTCACGCGGCACGTCCGGCCTGCCGTACCGCACGAGCGCGGTCTTGGGCAGCGCCGACAGCGCGTCGTCGGCAAAGTCCTCCCGGTGGGTGATGCAGATCGTGACCGAAACCTTGTCGCAGCCGACGAGCGGGCCGAGGTCGTGCTTGACCACATCCTCGGCGAACCCGCGCTCGCGCGACGCCCACACGATGCGGATCGACTTGGTGCGGGGGCTCGCGACGAGCGCGTGGAGGTACGCCAGCGGCACGACGATGCCGCTGCCGCCGACGAGGAAGAGGAGGTTCTCGAAGGTGTGGAACGGCTGGGTGTGGCCGTAGGGCCCCTCGACGAGGATGCGCAGCGGCGCGGGCGCCGGCCAGTGGGCGCCGGCGGCGTCCCGGAGGCGCGAGGTGAAGCTGTCGTAGGGTCGGATGAGGAAGGTCATTGCGGGGTCCTCGCCGTCTGCCTCGGACGCGAGGCTGATGTCGTTCTGGTTGTCCATCAGCGGCGTGTCTTCGCTGAGATCCTTTGACGGCCGACGCCTGCTGCCTGTCGAGTAGGCCATGGTGAAGGGGTGGCTCTCCCAGAACTTGGTGTCACTCAGGACGTGGAGATAGTAGTATGTGCCGGGCTGGGGCGTGTAGACGCTCGACGAGTGCGGCACCACGAGGCGGATCATGTTGCTGCTGGGGTCGTAGGTAGCCGATGCCCAGGTGTTCCAGAAGCGGGGGTTGAAGGCGAGTGTGCGGGACATGCGGATGATGCGGTCGAGGCCCCAGACCATGGCAGGTATCCAGGCCAGCATGTCGTACTGTCCCTTGAAAATTGACACATGACTGTGTGGTCGTGTCAGTCGTCGGTCCTGTTCCCACAGAGCAAGGCGTCACTTACCCGAGCATCGTGAGCAGAACGAAGATGGACAGAACGATGTGCAGGATGAGAAAGGTCTCGTAATGCTTGCGTCGCAGCCAGTACACGGAGAAACCCAGAAGCAGGCACATGAGGACGGTTGCCTGGAGACATGTGAGCAGGAGAACTTGGATGGGCTGGCCGGGCAAGGCGTGCTCACAATTTCGCCGGTCCAGAAGAAGAGCTGCGTCCACCACCAGGCAAAGTAGTCGACACCACCCTCTGGTAGCATTGGTCAGCGTCAGGCGCCCAAATGCCGGTCAATGAAACCCACCTTTGATGATCAGAATGGTGTAGCCGATGGAATGCAGCACGGCCTGGAGCGTAGCGACGCGGGCAACCCAACGATGAAAGTTGTTGTAGGATCCAAAGTCCCACCCCGTCAACCAAATGACGAGGTTGTTGCGCATCGCAAAGAGCCAGATGACGGGGAAGTTGAAGAAGGAAATAATGCCTGTGCGGTCCGAACCGTAACGCCAGATCTGTCTCTCCAAACTCCCAAAGCTGGCACGGTTAGCTTGGATTGCCGCTACCGGCGTGGCCTGCCGTGAGCTTACTAGAGATTATTTTCCGTGAAGCGGTACCCGTAAAGGCTGAGAAATACGTTCATGCCAATGAAGGCGAGGAGGGTGAGGCTCTGTATCCTCGGCGGGATGGTGCACCACCCGAGGTTCTGGGCGCAGGGTTAGCAAAAGGGTCGCCGGTATGGTGACATGGCGCTTGAGCCAGACGGAAAAGGGCATGGAAATGACGTGAGATGCCTGTGCTGGGCTTTCACCACGGAACGCTGAGCATCGCCGATGGCGGACATGAGCCGGCTCAGGACACCCAAGGCGACAACGGCGATCCAGAAGAAAATCATGGCCATGCTGTGGACGAGTCAGTGCTCGGTGCTCGAGCCACGCTGTAGGAAAGACAGGGGAGACGCAGGCGAGACGAACCCATAAATGTAGTGGTTGTAGTAGACATACTCGACGGCATCCTGTACGGCATGAGTGGTGCGTCTTTCACTGCGATGTGCGACAGGGACTCACGAGAGTATCGAACGCCGCGCGATAGAGCGTCTCAGACAGCATGATGACCTCGTCAAGGTGGGCACCGTTCTGCTGCTCGTCGAGGCCGATGTGCCTCAGCTGCGCGATATCGTCATCGGAGTAAGCGTCGACAATGTCGAAGGGCGGCAGTGGCGTGTCGCGCCAAGCCTGGCAGGTCTCATTTTCATGGCGCAGGCCCGGAATGCCGACGCCCTCAGCACCGTGGACCTTGAGGCAGAGGTAGAGTGACAGGATCCGATCTCGGCTCTCACACCTCTGGGCCAGCTTCGAGGCGTTCGTTCCGACGTCGTCAAAGTGGACGTAGGCGAGGGCGAGCTCGCACGAGCCAAAGGTGAGATCCTCACCTAGGGCTTGGGCCGCAGGAAGGATGCATGTCGTGGCAGCGAGTAGTGGCAGGAGAAGCGAAGAAGACGGAGGGCGTCTCATGGCCACGGCATGAGGGGAGATGGAAGGGATGGACTCAGGTCGCTGCGTGGAGGGGAGAGGGGCGACGGGCGGCGTGAGAAGTGGATGAAAGGCGCTGAGGAGACTAGAAGACTAGAAGACTAAAAGACTGTGCGCGAGGAATGCGAGATTTCGATCTTATCAGATCATCTGATAATCTAGCGTCATCAGCGTGACCCGCCTTGCCCGCCTGCACGTGTCGGCACAAGTCGGAGCCGAGCAGACTGAAGGATCACCAGGCCAGCAGAAGGCCAGCAGAAGGCCGACAGCGGTTATTCGGTATGGGATGGACAGTCACCGAAGTATCACCATGAGATGGGGTTTCAAGCGTCCTCACCAGCCCACGGCAAATCCCCCGGCCACAGCGACAATGAGGCGTCCCTGTAGATCGCACACATCTGATGAGAGAGAGAGAGAGAGAGAGAGGCCTTTCCCTTTCAGGCGTCACGATGCCTGCTACACGAGCTAGCACGGGGTAGCTCAGCGCAGGGGTGGTCGGGTCATTATGGAGACGTGGCATGGCATGCTGCCGAGTGTCTACCCGTCCATCTCGGGCGGTGAGATGCATTGAGCGACACTCGTCCGTACACTGGTGGTCGAACAAGGAACGAATGAAAGTGGGTTTGCAGATAGTCGACTCTGTCCAACTCAATGCAACTAGTCTCGGCTTGCCCTATGACTTTGTAGCGACACAGCGCTGGCCTGTTGACTAGAGTTTACCAGAAGAGCTTCGTCTGCCCATTATACGATGCGTTGTGTATCTTCAAAGTTTCTTGAACAAATAATCTCGATAGCATCAAAACCACCAACAATGCCAGCGAAGTAGCACATGGAATTCGTGCGCATCGGCACTGGTCGAACGCCACCACCGCTGTCGATCCCTGACTTGGGGGAACCGGGCCTGCTTTAGTGCTGCGTGCTGTAGGCAGTGCAGATGCTCAAATGAGGGGTTCGCGATATGGGCATCTCATCGACGTCTCTAGCAGTAACAACTTCATCACCGCCCCCGTTGCCTCAACCTCAGCCATTGTACCGTCGATACCCCTCTAGTCATAGGCACCAGTTGCACCAAGACGACCAATCCCCCCTTCCCCCCCAGCCCCCGGCGTCCCGCGAGCTCGACCTCATCGGCAAGGTCGCCCGTCATCAGGCGGGTGCCTTCCCGCCGGCATTCGGCCTCGGCCATCGCCCGCAACCTTCGCCTCCCGCGGGCTGCTCCATCCTGGGCACCTGCACCAGCGGAAGCCGGCGTCGCCGCCCTCGCCTCGACCCTCGACGCCGCCACGACCGAGCTCTTCGCCGCGACCGCCCGCCCGCGGCCCGCCTCGCTCCGGATCCAGGGCCTCGTCGCCGACATCTTCAGCCCCGACTGCGCCGCCGTCATCAGCGCCGCCGTCGCCGCCTCGTTCGCCGGCCGCGTCGACATCTTCGTCAACAGCGCCTGCGACCCCATGCCCGGCACCATCGGCGACACGACCGCCGCCGAGGTCCACCGCAGCCTCCTCGCCAACGTCCAGACGCCCGTGCTCATCGTCGAGGCGTTCGTGCGCCGCCGCTTCTTCCGCCCGGGCAGCCGCATCGTGTACCTGTCCTCCATCCGCGCGCGCCAGCCGTGGAGCGGGCAGCTCATGTACGCCGCCGGCAAGTCGGCCGGGGAGTCGCTCTGTCGGACCTGGGCGCAGGCCTTTGGCGGCAAGGAGGAGCGGGTAACGTCTACTCTCCTCCCCCTTTTTCCTTGGCAGGCATCGATCGTCAGGCCCGCTTGAGTCTCTCGTACTGACGTGGCGCAGTTTGCCTTCATGGAGGGCACGACGGCGAATGCCGTATCCGTCGGTCTCACCGAGACGGAGGCCGTGATGAACTGCGGGCCGGACGCCGTGCAGGCGTTTCAGGACGAGTTCTTCCCGTCGCAGAGCATACCGCGGTTCGGACAGCCAGAGGACGTCGCCGATGTCGTGGGCTTGCTGTGCAGTGAGGATGCTCGCTGGATCACGGGCTGTGTTGTCAGCGCCAGCGGAGGAGGCATCAAGATTGGATAAGGCGGCGCAGGCTCGAGGCAGTTCTTTGACGTAAAAGAATCACAAAATCCCTGCTTGAATCTTCGCTGTAGGAGACCACTCGTGGATGCTCGAAGAACCAGCCCGCTGACCACACCGGACACCCTTGTGGCTCCGTCATATGCTGAATACACCTCGACACCTTTCTGGTCACGAGCAGACATACTCTCGGCTGCCCAGTTCATTCGTAACGAGAGGGCACGTTTATCCATTACAACCAAGGCTGTGTAGCTCAGTGGCAGAGCGCCTGGGGTTTCTTCCTTCCTAGAACCCGTCCGCTCCGAAGACCTAGAATCCTACATACACTCCCCCAGGAGGTCGGTGGTTCGATCCCACCCGCAGCCATCCTTTTTTCCCCGCCTTTAGAACGCGATAAACCACGTCGAGAGAATGCCGTGAACTTCAAGTCAAGGCAATAATAAGTACAGAGCATCGAGCATTCGACAAGTCGCAGGCAATCAGGAAGCCGTCCCAAACGTCACAAACACCAAAACGCCGCACCAAGAGAAACAAGAGCGCGAGGCTCACACCTGGCGGTTCATGTTCATGCCCTCCTTGTTCCCCTGATACCCCTGCACGATCGGCCCGGTCGCGAGCCTCCGCGCAACCTCCTTGTCCTGCTGGATGAGCGCGCAGCAGGGGCACCAGTACGTCGTGCAGCAGTCGCGCAGCCCGGACCCTTCGATGTGGAAGCGCTCGCGAATCTCGCCGCGCTTGATCATGGCATAGATCCACCCGCAGCACGTGAAATACGTGATGCCGCACATGAGCACGCAGTCGACGTTGATGGGCTGGTAGTTGCGCATCGTCGGGTCGCGCATCCGTTCCGACGTCTTGCCGAGGACTGTTTCTTCGAGTCAGCAAAAGGCCTTGGTCGAAAAGATTAAAGGCAACAGCATGGGGAGGGGGGATGAAACGCACGCATGCAGGGGAGAAAGGTGCCGAGGAGGCATGAGCCGCAGGGGGCGCAGTTGCAGAGACTGTTCTCCCATTTCTGGTTGCGCACGTTGGCGCTCTCGGTGTAGGTGGCACGCATGTTATCTTGCTGCTGGTAGCCCTGGGGCGTCGACGGGAGCTGCCCGTAGGGATGCGGTGTGGAGTTTGTCCCTGGGGGCTGCTGGGTGTATTCCGGGGCCGGCTGAATGCCGTGTTGCTGTTGCTGGTGCTGGTATTCCATGGCTGTGACGATGTGCTGTCAAGGAGAATCTGTTGCCAATCACGACGACGAAAATATGTCTGTTTGTATGAAAAGGGCAAGTGTATTGATGAGACTGTGCGGGTTTCTATCGGGACCGGAATCGAAGCTCAATTGATGGCGTGCAAGCAGAAAAGCATACATGCCGACCCTCTGCATCCCCAGCTTGGGGCGGCGGTCTTAAAGAAAGGTCGACGAGGCGCAAGGTACATGGACAGCTTGACCACATGCAGCCTTGTGGGAATGGACCAGGCCCCGAATGCTCATGATGGTGTGGTGCGAGGCTTAGGCTGCTCCCTCCATCGGATGACCGGCGAAAGCTTCGCCTCAGCCTGGCCTCCTCGCTCCATACATCATTGGCCGAAAGCGGCACGTCGTTGCGTTCGCTTCGCCTGGTTGGTCGTATTCTGGGGGAAAGCGTCAGACGTCGCTCTGGGCTAGCGTCATCTTAGGGCTGAGACGAAGGGAACTGTCAATCAGCCGCCATAGCTGCCAGACACCGAGTCCGGGTCTGGGAGGGGGCTACAAATAGAAATCAGGCCAGGTGATCCCTCTGGCCTGATACTGCTCAGTGCCAAGCTCAAGAAGGTCGCGCGACGATGCGGCTCATGATGAGATAATCAGGGACGAAGACCTTGCCGCCCCTCAGGCGCCGTTCGTCGGGCGAGAGGGCATCCTTCTCGAACCCAAGCTTGCGGTAGAATGCCAGGGCTTTGGTGTTGCTCTTGAAGCACGTCAGCATGACCTTTTCGACGATTGGGATGCTTTGGGCGATGGCCTCCTGAAAGCCCATCAGCAAGGCTGCCAATCCGGTACTGCTCGACAAGCCAGTCAGTCAGCGCACGCCAAAAATGGAACGTGATGATTCGGTCGATCGATCGTTCGGCAAGCGACAACATACCCGTGCAAGTCGTCCTCGAGATGAATCTCGTAGCAGTAGACAACAGGCTCGCCGTCCTCCCGCGTTGGCATGAGGCTCGTGAAGCCCCGTAGATGATTGTTCTCATCACGCACGAGTATGTAGCGCAGCTCGGCAGATTTCATCTCGATCATTTTCTTCTTCGGGTGCCAGCCATCGGCGGAAGCGCGGTAGTCGTCGCCGCTCGTCTTCTCAACGAGTTCATAGCAGGCCTGGAGCTCGTCGTGTGTCATGCGAGCCGGTTGCTTGAGGCACAGGGCGTAGAGCTTCGCGGTATGTGGGTGAGTCCATGTTGCCCACCCGTCGCTGGGACCGAGTCATTCAATTTGGTCGTGACAGGGATAGCTGATCTCTCGCAAGGGG